AAATTAAATTATGTTGTCAGAAAATATAATTTAGAAGTTTAAATGTCCAAACTATTAATTCCTGGTAAGGCTCCAACTAATAAAAATCACATATTTGATGACACGTCATATTCTAAGGTCACGTTATCCCTTCAATGATACAAATATCGGAATTTTTCTCTAACAGTTATCTGATTAGCTGGTGTCTTTGCTGTTAGAATAAAACTGATTGTCCATTTCTGTTGAAACTTTTTGTACTGAAAATGTTTTTGACAAAAACATTTTAATCTTGATCAGGAGCCTGCAACCTTTACATTCTAAAGAGCCATTTCCGTCTTTTCTTACTAAATAACACATACTATGTCACAAACACGCATGAAATTTGAAATAAACTCCACTCCTTACATAAATACTACACATGAATTCTTATAAAACTAGTTAAAACTACATTCTGATGTTGAAGAACTACAAAAAATGTTGATATTTATTAATAGTTTGCATGTTAGGACAAGAGAAAAAAGACTAAATTTAATCAAAAGGACAAATAGAATAATTTAAAATGAACTCAAACATGTTAAAAATGTTAATTTTCTGATTTCAGACAAAGMTGGTGCTGTGTTAGAGGAAAGAGGTGACTACCAACCTGTTATCACAGACAGGTCAGTACTCTCAGAAAAGTGTGACTGGGCTAAATTAACATTTACAACATAAATATTTGTAGTTTGTTCATAAAAATAATGATTGTGTGTAGTTTTGTATATTATTAAGTTGATTCAAATGAATTTTAATTATTTGTCAATTGCGTTTTACTTATTTTTTATTAAACAATTTCAGCTCAAAATTACTGAGTAGGATTTAATTAATTTTTATCAGTAAGCTCAACAATGTTGAATAATCAATAAATTCTACTCAATGGGAACTCCTTGGTTTTATTCGTCGTACACTTCCGCCCCAGGAATTGCTGCACATGAAAGTTGAAATCGGCACAGGCTTGGTACAGCCTGTCTACTGCAAGGAATTCAAAGTAAGAAGCTTCTATATAACATTTTATATCTATGTTTGTCCAGCATTTGAACATTTTTGACTGTTTCCTTGATTTACCTAACAAGTATGTATGTTACATTTAACACAATTTATTGTAATTCAGAACAATTCATGGCTTCCATACCTTTTATCCACCTCAACAAGCTAACACTTGAGCGCGAAAGCACATAAGAAACGTCCTCAGTCCCCATTTATTTCATGTTATCTTGTTTTCAAAGTGTTGTGTTTTTAGTCATGGTGACAGCATATAGCTAACACCAACATGTTAATGTGAGAGGTTGATAATTTCGCTCCCACAGYTTATGATCAGAATGGACATCCAACTTGACTGCCCTACTCAGAGTTCTGATCCCAACTTTCTAACAGCTTGTCAATACAGTGAAGGTTGTACATTACTCTTCTTTTACCAGTTGAATTTATATACAAATGTATATATATATGGCACTTGAGCGTAAGTTTTTTCTTTAAAACCTCTCTATATGTAGAAATGGAGGTGAAAAAAATATGTTTTTTTTTCTCTACTGTAAATTAGAAGGCATAATTAGCAGTATACCTTATAAACCAGGGGTCCCCAAACTTTTTCCTGTAAGGGCCACATAACTTTTCCCTTCTCTGGTGGGGGGCCGGAGTCAGTTTGTAACAGAAAAAGTGTGACTGTTGCAGGAGTGCCTATATGTAAAAATTATTGTTTTCCAGAAAGCACAATCAAACAACCCTCTCTGGGTTCTTCACAGTATGTACTC